CTTCAGGAAAAATCATATGGCACATCTACACCACCAACTAAAACCAAGAGCAAGATACAGCTATCTACAGCCCATTCTAAATTTAAATGAAGACGAAGTTTTATTGTAAAGAAAGATTTGTACCCAGCTGTGCTATACAACAGCTATCTGAAGCAAATTACTAGTGCTTGGTAAAGTCTTTTGCAAAACCTACTGAAATTATTTGCTCCTTTCTCCCCAGGCTGGAGTAATAAATTCTGCCATCCACGAAGTCTCAATACAAAACGCAAAGGACGAGACTGCCAGGACACAGTGAGAGGTTAGCACGCTGTTCCCTCTTGCTGCACCTTGTAACTTACTTACCTTCAACCTTCCACACACGTCTGAAACTTACTTTGAAGCATTAAATGAATTCAATTCAATGAAAATGAAAATCCAGCACAAGAATATTTAAACTGAGAGTTGGGTAGCCATCGCAAATGACATAAATGAAGAGATATGTTCTTCACAGAAGTAAAATTTCCAGAGAAAGTAGCGGTAAAGTGCCAAAAATTAATCTTGTCTAGACTTTCTTAATGAGACAGATGTTACCGCTCTGTTTCTGAGGATGCTCTCTTCCCAGTATTCAGACAGAGTATTTAATGGTGCAGAATAGATGACAACAGCAACTACAGTACACAAAAACCAGCCACTCAAAGCCACATACAATATAATATGCAAATCTGATACCTGTTGCTGTACAGGAACTGGAGTTGGGACCAAAAGCATGTTCTTACTATCACAGCCTGCTGGTTGTACCTGCTGAAGAAAAGCTGGGTTCCTGCTGTGTGGAGCAGGTAAGGAACTATGCAAACTTGGCAAGTTTGGCCCATTTTGCTGTTGGCTTTGCTCCTGGCTAATCTGTTGCGCCACTTGAGGAACAGGAGGCATTCCACCTGCAGCAAAACTTTTAAAAATTGCAATGTCAGTAACTAAAATAGTGGAATATCAAAAAGAACCAAAGAAAGTGGCAATACAGACTGTTACATAGTTGGCCAAATCAGCTTTCTACCACACCACAATACAATTGCATACCTAAAAGCTATGAAAATGCAAATCAATCAGCATGCTAGTCTAGAATGTACTTATCCACTCTTTAACCTGACAACACAAAGATCTTTTTAAACAACATCCACAGAGAGGTGATAGCTAGGCAACCAGTCTCTATCAGGGTATCAAATGACTGAAAAGGAAAAATTTCATGCAACAACATCAATTAAAGAAAACAACAAATTAGGCACAGAGGGTACAAATTTAAGCCCAATGCATGGAAAATGAGATGTGCAGCGCTCACTAAGATTTCTAGGATTTTCTCCAGAGGGTTTTTAAATCGTGTAATAATTGGTATTAGATATAATGTTACAATTACAGAAGATCTCATTAAAGCAATTATCTTTAATTACAACGCTTAAGACTTACATTTGACCATAAATACTTTATCATAAATCATTAATATATGTACTAGATGTACCAGCGTTATTTTAAACATTTTTTTTAAACTGTTATCAAAACTAATTATGATTCTCCATGCGAAGTACTATTTTGGAACTAAAATAAAGTTAACCTAATAAAGTATCTCATTATCAATGAAACGGTGCATTGGTCTACCACTTCCAAAGCTCTACCCACATTTACCTTTGATTTCAGTTTTACATCCTCTTTATTTTGCTATGATATGATTTTGATGGTCACAGAATTGCTTCCTGCCCAACTTCTACAAAGAGAGTTCATCTTAATGGCCACTGACCTTTTAACTGAATTTAACCACTTTTTATCATCCCAGTAGCTTCATCCAGTTATTTCCAGCAGTCAGACAGAGAGGATTCCTGCAGTACATACTGAGCCTTGACTGGGTACACGTGTACTTCGAGGACGACGCAGGACAGTCGACGGGCGCTGCAGGCTCTCCCCAGCGCGACGGCCGACGCCGCAGCCCGCGTGCAGGCTGCGCGGGGCGGATGCCGTCACACGAGGTCCCGCGATGGAAGCTGTGACAACGGGGTGAGCCTGGCGTCACTCGTGCAATTCCCAGATCTCTCGTTTCATGAAGCGCTGCCGTCTGAGGGGCAGAATGATTTATCCTGTAAGTACGCGACAGCCACCTATGCCATTAATACAAACCCAAGCGGGGTTTGAACGCCGCCTTGAAAATGCCATAACGCTTGCAGCGCTACCGGCCAGGCTGCGAAGAGGCTTTAGCGCAAAGATAAAGTTCTCTGAACGTACAAGGGCAACGCATCCAGCCTCCTCTGCTGCAAGATGCAGCAGGAGCCCGCCGGTGCCGAGCGGGGCTCCCCGGCGGGCCCCCCGCCCCCCACCCCCC